TACTGGAGAACGGACAATTAGAGACTGAGGTCTTCAGAAAGTCCACTCACACTGACCAGTACTTGGCCTTTGATTCAAATCATCCGCTACAACACAAACTCGGGGTCATTAGAACGCTTCAACACCGAGCCCACCAGGTCCCCACTAGCTCGGAGGGAAAGAACAGAGAAACCAAACATGTTCAGAGAGCACTTTCCAGATGTGGCTACCCCAAGTGGTCTTTTACTAAAGCCCAAAGGACGAGAAAGGCCAGAGACACAGTCCTACAGACAGAAGAAAGTAGGAGGAGAGGGGTGTCCTTACCGTATGTGGCGGGAGTTTCAGAGAAACTACAAAGAATCTTTAGGCAACACAAAATCCCTGTGTATTTCAAACCTTTCAACACGTTAAGACAGAAATTAGTGCATCCCAAAGACAAAACACCCAGACACAAACAGAGCAATGTGGTGTATTCAATTAAATGTAGTGAAGAGGAGTGCACTGACCACTATATTGGAGAAACCAAACAAACTCTACAGAAACGACTTTACCAACATCGTAGAGAAAACTCTAGTGGGCCACAGTCGGCTGTTCATCTCCACCTCAAGGCCTCCAACCACACGGTGGATGACACAGAGGTTAAAATTCTGGCTCGGGAGAAGAATTGGTTTGAGAGAGGGGTGAAAGAAGCCATTTTTGTGAGGAAACAAAAACCTTCTCTTAACAGAGGAGGAGGGTTAAGATTTGTTTTGCCTCGCATCTATGACGACATCCTAAAAACAACGCCCTAACTTGGGACAAGGTCAGTGACATGCTAATGAGTTAGGAGGGGTGAGACCTGCACTCCACTTGATGATCCCAGCAGACAATAGGTCTGTGACATGCTAAGGAGTTAGGGTCGTTAGCCTCAGCAGGGTCGTTAGACCTGCTCCCTTCTACATCAAGCAGACCTGAGATTGTTTACGAGTTAGTATCAGGATTAGGGTGTGGCTTACCACACCCATAGGTTATAAATCAACGCGTGGTCCGAGAATTCATTCCCTGAAGAAGTCCCCAGGTTGAGGACGAAACGTCGGGAAAACTTGCTAAGAAGTACAGATGATGGGTGAGAAACCTTCCTTTGCTTTGACTAATCCCTGTACGACTGAGGGCTTACACAAACTTCAAACATAAAGATATAAAATTTTATTTTTTTGTCATGAATCAACAACAAGTGGGACACAATCGTGAAGTGGAACGAAATGTATTGAATATTTTAAACTTCCATCCATCCATTTTCTACCCTTTAATCCATTTCTGGGTCAGGGGGGTGGCAATCAGAGATGCCACCCAAGTCTCATAGCACCAGCCCCTCACTGACCCTCTGCAGGTGGTGAGTCCACAGGAGGACGGCTGCTCTCTGAGTGTGAGCATAGCCTTGATCTTTCAGTGGGGGCTTTGGGCAAAGTGGGGTTAAGTGTCTTGCCCAAGGACACAACGACAGCAGTCATCAGTGGGAGTCGGTGGAGAAGGTGTAGAGGTGGGAATTGAACCCACGACCTTCAGGCCTGAAGGCCAATGCTCTACCAACTGAGCTACTGTCGCCCCTGGCATTTTTATTTTAAACTTTTTTAACAAATAAAAAACTGAAAAGTGGGGCATGCAATATTATTCGGCCCCTTTACTTTCAGTGCAGCAAATTCACTCCAGAAGTTCAGTGAGGATCTTTGAATGATCCAATGTTGTCCTAAATGACTGATGATGATAAATAGAATCCACCTGTGTGTAATCAAGTCTTTGTATAAATGCACCTGCTCTTTGATAGTCTCAGGGTTCTGTTTAAAGCGCAGAGAGAACCATGAAGACAAAGGAACACACCAGGCAGGTCCGAGATACTGTTGTGGAGAAGTTTAAAGCCGGATTTGGATACAAAAAGATTTCCCAAGCTTTAAACATCTCAAGGAGCACTGTGCAATCAATTATATTGAAATGGAAGGAGTATCAGACCACTGCAAATCTACCAAGACCCGGCCGTCCCTCCAAACTTTCATCTCAAACAAGGAGAAGACTGATCAGAGATGCAGCCAAGAGGCCCATGATCACTCTGGATGAACTGCAGATAACTACAGCTGAGGTGGGAGAGTCTGTCCATAGGACAACAATCAGTCGTGCACTGCACAAATCTGGCCTTTATGAAAGAGTGGCAAGAAGAAAGCCATTTCTCAAAGATATCCATAAAAGTCTCGTTTAAAGTTTGCCACAAGCCACCTGGGAGACACACCAAACATGTGGAAGAAGGTGCTCTGGTCAGATGAAACCAAAATCGAACTTTTTGGCCACAATGCAAAACAATATGTTTGGCGTAAAAGCAACACAGCTCATCACCCTGAACACACCATCCCCACTGTCAAACATGGTGGTGGCAGCATCATGGTTTGGGTCTGCTTTTCTTCAGCAGGGACAGGGAAGATGGCTAAAATTGATGGGAAGATGGATGGAGCCAAATACAGAACCATTCTGGAAGAAAACCTGTTGGAGTCTGCAAAAGACCTGAGACTGGGACGGAGATTTATCTTCCAACAGGACAATGATCCAAAACATAAAGCCAAATCTACAATGGAATGGTTCACAAATAGACGTATCCAGGTGTTAGAATGGCCGAGTCAAAGTCCAAACCTGACTCCAATCGAGAATCTGTGGAAAGAGCTGAAGACTGCTGTTCACAAACGCTCTCCATCCAACCTCACTGAGCTCGAGCTGTTTTGCAAGGAAGAATGGGGATTATTCAGCAGTCACTTTGCCATTTCTATAAAGTGCATTCCAATTTGGCATTTGAACAAAGCCGTCTGGGAGAATAAGGGTCACATAAAAAGCGAAGAGTGTAACTTCAACAGAGAAGATGTCTTGGCCTCTAAAACACAATCCTCTTCCCACACAATCATCACTTATTCTGAAAAGGGGGATAATGTCGATGCTGCTTCCAGGAGAATTTAATCAACAAGGTACAGAGTTTTGGCATTTTTTATGTATACTTTCAACTTAGTGATTGTCTGGAGTTTGTAGAAAAAAAGAGAGAGGTACATGATTTGAAAAAAACCCCCCCAAAAAACAAGCTCCTCCCCTTTCCTCGCTGATTGTTACGGAAACTTAGGTGTAGACCAATCAATCAACACATTTAAATCAGAGAACACATTATACATATACATTATTAATACACATGCACGGAAGCTTTGAGAATTATTAACTTTTTTTGGCAAAAATAATGTTTTTATGCACAAAAAAGCGATCGCGGTAAACCCGGAAGTAGCTATTTTCATTGATTGCACATTATAGAACACATCTGCAGAGGATCTGATTATGGATATAGGTTCAGTATAGAAATGATTATGGATATAGGTCCAGTATATAAATGATTATGGATATAGGTTCAGTATATAAATGATTATGGATATAGGTTCAGTATATAAATGATTATGGATATAGGTTCAGTATATAAATGATTATGGATATAGGTTCAGTATATAAATGATTATGGATATAGGTTCAGTATATAAATGATTATGGATATAGGTTCAGTATATAAATGATTATGGATATAGGTTCAGTATATAAATGATTATGGATATAGGGTCAGTATATAAATGATTATGGATATAGGGTCAGTATATAAATGATTATGGATATAGGTTCAGTATATAAATGATTATGGATATAGGTTCAGTATATAAATGATTATGGATATAGGGTCAGTATATAAATGATTATGGATATAGGGTCACTATATAAATGAGTACCCTCAGCGCAGATGTTCAGAATTCTTTGTTCAGTTTTCATGTAGTTTCAGAGCCTAATGGAGGCTTGATTCGGAGGCTCCGTGAAAACAAACAACTGAGCATGAGCAGCTACGAGCATGAGCGCTGATGATTGACAGCCCTTGGCATGACTCGATTGGTTAAACTGGACGGCATCGTGGATTTTGAGCTAAAGCTAAGAGAAGGGAAGGCGGGATTTACCCGTAATATTAGAATTCATAAAATGACTTATTTTAAATCAACATTTAAGGCCAGGAGGTCAATTTAATACAATTCTTAAAATGTCTAATTCATTTAGAGTTCCAGACTATCACTTTAAGCTTTTGAGTACTTTCCCACTCCTTTTCAAGTATCTGCAAGATTTTCTCTTGTGTGTATAATATTATTTTGTATTATGTAAATGCAACTCGGGGTTATTTATGCACAATTTTGATGTTCTGCTTTTGTTTTTTGTACACTTATTTGCTCAAAATAAACATGGCTTATAGCTTCTACTTTAATATATATGGGAGATATATTTTCTACTTCATAAAGATCATAAAGACTAGAGAAAATATTTGAAGAGAAAGAAAAAAATAATAGGAAATTGCTCCTGTATACCAGAGAAAAAACAACAAAATAATAAACAACAGTGTATGAGAAAAACACGTAAAAAATTGTCTTTATGATAATGTTGTAAACTAATTGCTCCAAGTCGCTCCAAGGCCTCGCACCATGGTACATCTGCGACATGTTAAGAGTCCGAGCCCAGTCAAAGGGCACTGAGGATCACAGGGACTGGCCTCCTGCGGGTGCCCAGGGTCAGGACTAAACATGGGAAGGCAGTGTTTCAGATCCAAGCAGCTATAATCGTCATTTAACACAAGTACAATGTCTCTACACAGTATTTCACATGAATTGAATGAGACCTTTATCCAAAACATTATTTCCCTTACAAATTCTGGAGCACACTGGGGCAGTCTTGCACAGTTTTTCCAAAGTGGTTTTACTGCAAATGGCAAATAAATTCTTGAATCTTGAAATGAAATACATGTGATTAATGAGAACTATTTTTTCCATCTCCTATTGATTTCTAATAGATCTCAAACCATATAAAAGACGTAGCTTTCTTGCTCCATTATTAGGCTTAAGTTAGAGATTTTATTTTATTTTAGTATATATAGTTTTACTGTTCACGTATCTTGTGCTGTGTGCTCCTCATTCCTTCTGTTCTGAGTGTAAGAGTGTTACCTTCATGACGATGAAGATGACCAGGGTGACGAAGACGTTGACCTGCGGGTGCAGCCAGGCCTGAGAGTTGCCGAGGTAGTCAAACTCTTCTGCGATTCCTTGTTTGGCCCAAGTGCGATTGTCCAATAATGTGACCAGAGACTCCTTCTGTGTCAGCTGCAAGGGACAAGAGAGAAAAACAAGAAAATAAAAATGATTATACGTATATATGGTTGTGCTATACTTAAATATTTACTTACTCATTCCTACTGTTCTGTAACTTGTGATGCAACTCTGAAATGTCCCCACGGTGGAATAAAAAAGTATCTCTTAAATACATGAAATAGCAGTAAACTTGCCCGGTACACGTTTATCAGTGTGTTTATGTTTTAGTTTGATAGTTTTTATACTCTTCACTTGTCTGGACTATTTTTGTGCAGCCCCAAATCACAGAGTAGATATCTCGGGAGGACTTCACAAACTTGTCGATTCGTCAACACGGATCAGAGAATCAAACCGTTTGAACACAGTAAATGCAATAATAAAAATGTAGAGCCATTGGTGCATAAAGGGGCAGATGACCAATGTATATGAATATTACAGTATGTACACTGCAAAAAGTAACACAAAATAAGTCAAAACAAAATTGGCAGAATGTATCTAAATTTGAGCACTTTCTGACTGCCTTGAAACAAGATTTGCCAAAGAGACAAAGCAAAATGATCAAGTTTTGAAAATAATGTCTCCCGTGTACTGAGAGAATAAAGCCACAGTTCTTGAAATAAGACTAAATGGCTTTGTCCCATTGTAATAAATGCTTGAAATCTTGTTTTAGAACATCACAGTTTGACCTCATGACTGCCAATATAAAAAACCCAAAAAAAGAAAACTAAAAAATTGAAAATATTCCAGAGACTTCAATCCTCCAGACTGACATTAAGAACATAGGTTTACATTCACATAAAAGCATGAATCATATGAAACAGCAGGATCTAGAAACTCACACGGTGCACAACCTGAAGAAGTGTGAAGTAAATCAGGTCTGAAATGACTCACTTCCGTTCACGGAGCAAAGACTCCGCACGGACCGCTGTCATCATTAAAATTCTTTGTGACTGCTTTTAATTGGAGGCGGTCGGTGGCACGACAACCTCGGTGCAAAAGATGAAACACGAGGGCTTTTGGTCTGTCAAAGAAAAGCGATACTCAGTGGGGCATCTTTAAAAGTCCTGCCGGTGTCAAGTTTCCTCGCGGCTTATGGCAAACACATCAGCTCTTATTGCAGAGGATCGCAGGGCTCCCAGGGGCCCGGTGTGGAGTGATGCATAATCCAATGGGTAAATGTTACGACCAAACATTCAAGACATGGGAAGACTCACAGAAACTACTGTGTTCCAGGTAGTATCAATGGGACTCAGAATAATGGAAATTGAGTTTTTATTGTTATAAGAGTGTGTTAAAGGGGCAGTTAGCGATGTTGTTAGCTTAGCCGTTAGCACCGACTCGAAACCACTCCCCTCCTCCCCTCGCCTCTTTACCAAACCAAACATCCAGTATTTTCTTTTCTTTGTCATAACAGGGAGAGTGGGTGGCAAACGTGAAATTGGCATTATTACATTCAGCCCTTTTAGGTTTTAGAAAATAATCCAATAACTCTGGTGCACTCACGAGAAACAGGAAGAGGGTGAAGGAGGTAAACACATCCCATTGGTCAATTTTTATCGGTCAGCTCCAAAATATTTTGTAGACATTTTTAGAGACTTTAGGCAACTGGTCAATTCCATTACTATTTGAAAACACATGATAACTTGACTACTTTTAGGGTTTAGGGACGTTTTCCCACAATGGTTAAAAAAAATGCGTATGGAAAAAAAATCACTGACACCATCTTTAATTGTGTGTTACTGTAAAAGTATTCTGAAACTCCTAGAGCTCCCATCATTTTGACTGCACCAATTCAAACCATTGGAATTCTGAGAATTTCCCACAAAGAGTGTTGTGTTTGTCACAAAAATAATTTGAATTTTATTTTGAAATTAATGGAATTATTAGAGTTAAACTGAGTACTCCTCACATTTCAAATATAAACAATCATAAAAATAAACTACATATAGAACCAGAAAAAGATGTTGGGAAGACCAATAATAGTAAGAGAGAAAAAGAGTAATTACACTTCCAAAACTAAGCATCAAATTGACTGCTGTGGAAGTTCGAGCCGATATAGCTCAGTTCAGTTCAGTTCAGTTATACGTTATTGTCCCCGTAGGAAGTGCTAACCACTCAGCCACCGTGCCGCAGTGTAGACAGCAATGCAACTACATTATCCAATCGATGTGAACTTTTGTGAGTTTTATTTCATCTCATAGAATATAGCAATAGACAAACAAGTCATTTGTTAGTTTACCTTGGTTGATAATTCGGAGTATACTGTAAATGTTTTTCTGAGTTAGAGTTGTACAAAAACATGTGGAATATTGTGGAAGATTCAAACGGACGTCACGTGTTTTGACATAAACCACACATTCTACTTAGTTACTTTGCGTTTGAGGAAAGCCATTTTTCATTTCATTTACTCGTCTGATAAGAATATCCAATACACTTTTTCATGTCAAAAAATAAATATGTGGCCTTTGAAGATGAAAAAGAAACCACTGCTTCTGAGATGGAAAATACTTCAAACCAACAGGTCACAAGAGTAAAGTCCACACTCACGACACTCACCGGATTTTAGATACTGAAGCGATTGAGTGAAGGGCATCTTAAACTCTTCAAGAACATGTGTAAAAAATGTGACTCAAGCAAGAAGGGAAAAAATAGACTTTACTTTTTGCACCAGCAGCATGTGAAAGCCAGATCCATCAGAGCTCTGAAGCTAAGCAGGGCCAGGTCTGGTTAGGTCTGGTCCAGGACACTCAACATCTGACGACTTTTTATGGACATTGGTCTCCGCCCCTTATGGACCAATGGCTCTATGAGTGTTTTTATCGATGCATTTCTAGAGTTTGTTCTGTTTGATTCTTGATCTGTGTTGGGAAATTCAGCGGTTTTGTGAAGTCAGAATACTGTGATGGGAGACCTGCCTAGAATGAGTCTGCTGTATGCGTGTGTGAATGGTTGGTAGTGGTCGGAGTGTCCCGTCAGTGTGCCCCAGGGCAGCTGAGGCTACAGTAGTAGTGTATCACCACCGTGCTTGGAGTCAATGAAAAATATAGTGAAGAGTCTGAGTGTCCAAAAAAATATATAAAATCAGATGCATTATTAATTACTACTTATCTATTTGAGCTTTTAAGACTGGCTCTTTTTTAATTATATCTAAGTAAGTAATGTTTAATTATATAGCGCCTTTCACAGACCCGAGTCACAAAGCGGTTTACAATTGTGGGCACTTGTCTCCCACACCACACAGAGATGAAGCAGGGTTGCTTACAGGAGGTGCATGCCAGACCTATTGTACATGTTTTTTTAGTGGTAGGAGCAACCGGAGCGCCTGGAGGAAACTTATGTAGACGAGGGGAGAACATGAAAACTCCACTCAGAAAGGCCCCGTTCCGACCGCGCCGCCCTCTACACCACTATGCATATGATTCTAAATTAGCTAAACCAGCCAAAGACAGTTTTTTTCAGATGGGAACACTCAATATGCTTGTTCGTGAACGAGTCTGAGAGAGTTGACGGTTGCGGTGGAAGACAAACGCTTCATGAGCAGAGAACAGAAGCCGCAGCCTCTCGGGGAAAGAGCTGGTATCGCGTTTGAAGAACTGATGAATTAAACAAACACAAAAGTTTATGCTCCCTGTGCGTGTCCTCCACACTTCAGCTAATAATCACCCATAGTCACGGCAACACTGATGCAGGGATAGATACAGTCGTGTTAGGACATGGATAAATGATCATGATCTGCGCCACAAAAACTGCTGCATTATTCATGTTCTCCACTTTCTATGTGAGAGACTGACGGATCAGAGCAGGAAGCAGCAACTGGAAGTCAAGAAAACATTGTGTAGAGTCAAGGTTCGAGAGCAGATCTGTGTAAGTCCATCAGCCTTCACCCGACCACCTCTAAACAGACCTCTAATCTTCCTCCATTTTTTTATTTTATCGTTTCATGTTTATTTATGCATAATTATAAATATATTTTTTAATTTTAATCTGATTCTTTTTATTTCTTTTTTTTCATTTTACTTGTTTATTTCATTCTATTCATTTTATACTATTGTGGTATATCAGGCATGTTATAATCATTTTCAAGGTAAGTTTATCAAGAAAATAACCACATCATTAATATTATCAAAAACAAAGGCCTGGAGGCAATTGGCTGTGGCTGTAAAGTCCCAAATTGCTGTTGTGTCTTTAGGCAAGACACTTCACCCACATTGTCTAGAATGAGTCTGGTGTGTGTGTGAATGGTTGGTGGTGGTCGGAGGGGCTGATGGCACATACTGGTTGCCTTGCTTCTGTCAGTGTGCCCCAGGGCAGCTGGGGCTCCAGTAGTAGTTTATCACAACCGTGTAAGGAGTGAAAGAATAATGACATGTGAAGCGTCTTTGATTTTTTTTTTTGAGAGTTCATAAAAATACTTATTACTACATAAAAGTTGTATTATAATCTGTAATTTAATTGAAAACTGATTCAGCTGTGTATGAATTCAGGCTGTATAAAAGTGCTGAGTAGAGACTTAGTGTGACGCTGGCTCTCCTCCAATCACAGAACGAGGCTGCGTCCTCTAGTCTCTACAGCGCTGCTAAACACAGTAGCATGTTAGCATAAGTGGCTATAACTCCTCTGGCTGTAACTGCAGACACAGAAAAACAGCCCGAACGACACAACAGTGAGGAAGAGAAGAGGGAACTAAAGCGAGAAAATGATCAAAGAAGAAATCAAGCCCGGGTGAACATAGCTAGCTTACATCTCCCACAGACTTATTGTCTATGGGAAAGACCTGCGGGACCGCCTCGGACTATCTGAGTGTGTTCACAGTTAAGTGTCAATTGAAGTATCTCGACTTTAAAAGGTTATAACTTAAAAACTAAAATTACTATCATAGATTGGAAAAAAGATTTCAAACACAGACACATCAAAGAAATAGTGTGGAAAAAATCAAAAGGAAAGATTGTCAAATATATTTTTGGTGACATTTTAAACGACAAAATCAGCCTCTTTTTTGACCATTCTACTGTGACGCCAGTTACATAAAAAATAAAATGTCCTCAGTCTGAAAAAGCGGCAGATGAAATCCCATAATATTTACATGGTTAACACAACATCAGGAAATCACTTGATATGAAAAGGAATCGTTAAAAAATAAAAAATAATTAATTAATTAATTGACCCTTGAAAAATGTATAACTGACGTGATGGTTTCCGTCCTCTTTTCTCTAAAATTTTAACTTGAGAAAGAAACAAATCTTGTCTGGTTTCACATTTAATTGGTTGACTAAATTAAAGTATCACTTTGTTTCTACTCTGTGTAAAAAAAAAATAGAATCTCTGAATCAAATGTGGACATCTGAAAATACCTATCAAACTTCCGCAAAGCTCATTCCGTCAAATCATCACGTCCGTTAGATAAAATAAACAGGGCCACTATAGGAAACTTGTCTAATGTATAAAACAGTTATGTTCTAGCAACTTCTAATGGACAGAGGAGGTGCTTGGAAACATGAAAAACATAAAATATCTTCTGATTATTAAAATCTATTTTTTGGCCTTTTGTCACACTTTTGTGCCCTTTAGTGTGAACAAGCCCATCTATGCTCGGACTACATTCGGACGCAGAACTAGCGGTAATCTTTCAGTTATATATTTTGTTAGCAGTGCGTTGCTTTTGTACCATTTCATCAGTGATTGTTGTACAGCTTAAGTTGCGCTCATGCTAATGTTTGCATAGATCGCAAATAAAACTAGATGACTCCGTGGAATGAGAGCGTAGGAGAAATGAGAAGCCTGTGAGCGAGTTGAGGGGCGGGGCTAAACATTCAAACCTCACAGAAACGGGTATAGCTCCTTTAACTAGCTGTGAATGCTTCAATATCAATTCCATACATAAATAATAGGAGGCTATGGATTGAAGTGAGAAACTACTATACTATACAAAGAGATGTACTTTATTACCTCACAATGGATAAATTCAGTGTTCCAGATCTATATTCTCAGGTCAAGTATAAAAGTACACGTCTCCCGTCTCTCACACAAAGTAACGCTATCCATTTCAATTATAAAGAACTTGCAGAAGACAAGAAAGCGGTGATATTCGAAGCCGGCGGACGTGACCTTTCATTCTGGCCTGACTCAACCCTTTATCAGGAAACAAGACCAGAGTAAGTATTTTCTTAGCTCTGAGGACACTGTTCCACGTTTAATTCTGATAATTAGACGAGATGAAGGGCCAGTAATTGGAGACAGATCTGACTCATCCCTGAAGCAAACAGCCGACATCAGCTCACACAGAAAAATACGTTTAAAAACCAGCGCTGGGTGAATCATAAGCAGGACATCATTAGGACTGGATGAATGTAATCACGGTGTGTGTGTGTATGTGTATGTGTGTGTTTTTTAAGGCGATTATATGAGAGTGGAGAGCTCACCTTGCCGGCCATGAACTGTCCGAAGCCGGGAGGAAACGTCATGGTGGAAATGATTAAAGTGACCAGTGCGGGGTACAGCAGACGCCTGGAAAGACACAGAATAAGGTCAGCCACAGAAATAATGAGGAAGTTGTGTAGCAGCCATTTATATGTGTACTAAGGGGTAGGCGTCTGTAAGTCTGTAAGCTTTAGTTTCTGCCCATTCCTGTTTTACAGACCTTTTTTTTTGCCTGAAATGGTCAGAATAGTGAAAAACATCTGAACTACATTGCAAAAAGTGATGCAAAATAAGTTAACAAGTGCTCAAAATTTGGCAAAATGTATCTTAATATATCTCCCCCCTGGACTGCCACCTTAACGTGGTGGGGGAGTTTGAGTACTCGGGTGATCCTGGGAGCTATGCTGTCTGGGGCTTCATGCCCCTGGTAGGGTCTCCCATGGCAGACAGGTCTCAGGTGACGAGTCAGACGAAGCGCAGTCCACAACCCGTCATGGATCGCACAAAAAAAGAACAAGTGACGTCGCCCGGCATGGCGCAGCCGGGGCCCCACCCTGGAGCCAGGCCTGGGGTCGGGGCCCGAAAGCGGGCGCCTGGTGGCCGGGCCTTAGCCCACGGGGCCCAGCCGGGCTCAGCCCGAAAGGACGACGTGGGCAGGCCCTCCTGTGGGCCCACCACCCGCAGAGGGGTCCGTGGCGGCTCGGTGCAGAGAGGACTGGGCAGCAGTCGAAGGCGGAGACCTCGGCGACCCAGTCCGCACACCCAACATCTAGCTCTTGGGACGTGGAACGTCACCTCACTGGGGGGGAAGGAGCCCGAGCTTGTGGGGGAGGTCGAGAGGTACCGACTAGAGATAGTCGGCCTCACCTCCACACACAGCTTGGGCTCTGGAACCCAACTCCTTGAGAGGGGTTGGACGCTCCACTTTTCTGGTGTATCTCGCGGGGAGAGGCGGCGAGCTGGGGTGGCCATACTCATTGCCCCCCATCTCAGCCGCCACGTGTTGGAGTTCTCCCCGGTGAATGAGAGGGTCGCGTCCCTCCGCCTTCGGGTGGGGGACAAGTCTCTCACTGTTGTGACGGCCTACGGGCCTAACAGCAGTGCAGAGTACTCGGCCTTCTTGGAGTCCTTGGGAGGGGTACTGGACAGTGCACCGCCCGGGGACTCCGTCATTCTCCTGGGGGACTTTAACGCCCATGTGGGAAGCGCCAGTGACACTTGGAGAGGGGTGATCGGGAAGAACGGCCCCCCTGATCTGAACCCGAGTGGTGTTCAGTTGTTGGACTTCTGTGCTAGTCACGGTTTGTCCATCACGAACACCATGTTTGAGCACAAGGGTGTCCACCAGTGCACGTGGCACCAGGACACCCTAGGCCGGAGGTCGATGATCGACTTTGTTGTCGTATCATCTGACCTTCGACCGCGTGTTTCGGACACTCGGGTAAAGAGAGGGGCAGAGCTGTCAACCGATCACCACCTGGTCGTGAGTTGGATCCGCTGGCAGGGGAAGAAGCTGGTCAGACCTGGCAGGCCCAAGCGTGTAGTGAGGGTTTGCTGGGAACGTCTCGCTGAGACCCCTGTCAGACGGACTTTCAACTCACACCTCCGGGAGAGCTTCTCCCAGGTCCCGGCGGAGGAGGGGGATATTGAGTCTGAGTGGACCATGTTCTCTTCCTCTATCGCCGATGCGGCGGCTCGTAGCTGTGGTCGCAAGGTCTCTGGTGCTGGTCCCGGCGGCAACCCCCGAACCCGGTGGTGGACACCGGCAGTAAGGGATGCCGTCAGGCTGAAGAAGGAGTCCTATCGAGCCATGATGGTTCGGGGGACTCCTGAGGCAGCTGTCCAGTACCGGCAGGCCAAGCGTGCCGCGGCCCGGGCTGTTGCAGAGGCAAAAACCCGGGACTGGGAGGAGTTTGGAGAGTCCATGGAGCATGACTATCGGTCGGCCTCGAAGAGATTCTGGCAAACTGTCCGGCGCCTCAGGAGGGGGAAGCAGTTCTTTGCCAACACCGTGTACGGTGCGGGGGGTGAGCTGCTGACCTCGACCGGGGATATTGTCGGACGGTGGAAGGAATACTTCGAGGTTCTCCTCAATCCCCCCGTCACGTCCTCCGCTCCGGAGGCAGAGGCTGAGGATGTTGGGGCGGATACTTCTGTCACCCTGGCAGAGGTCACCAAGGTGGTTGGCAGCCTCCTTGGTGGCAAGGCGCCGGGAGTGGATGAGATCCGTCCTGACTATCTAAAGTCTCTGGATGTTGTAGGACTGTCTTGGCTGACACGTCTCTACAACATCGCGTGGCGATCGGGGGCGGTGCCAATGGAGTGGCAGACCGGGGTGGTGGTTCCGCTCTACAAGAAGGGGGACCGGAGGGTGTGTTCCAATTATCGTGGGATCACACTCCTCAGCCTCCCTGGTAAGGTTTACTCCAAGGTACTGGAGAGGAGGTTACGGCCGATGGTCGAATCTCGGATTCAGGAGGAGCAGTGTGGTTTTCGTCCCGGCCGTGGAACACTGGACCAGCTCTACACTCTCCATCGGATACTCGAGGGTTCATGGGAGTTCACCCAACCTGTCCACATGTGCTTTGTGGATTTGGAGAAGGCGTTCGACCGTGTTCCCCGGGGTGTCCTTTGGGGGGGTCCTCCGTGAGTACGGGGTCCGGGGTCCTCTGCTGAGGGCCGTCCGGTCCCTGTATGACCGGAGCCAGAGCTGCGTGCGCATTGCCGGCAGTAAGTCAGACCTGTTCCCTGTGCACGTTGGCCTCCGCCAGGGCTGCCCTTTGTCACCGGTTCTGTTCACTGTATTCATGGACAGAATTTCTAGGCGCAGCCAAGGGTCGGAGGGGGTCCGGATCGGGGACCACAGGATTTCATCTCTGCTGTTTGCAGACGATGTTGTCCTGTTGGCTCCAACGAACCAGGACCTACAACATGCACTGGGACGGTTTGCAGCCGAGTGTGAAGCGGCTGGGATGAGAATCAGCACCTCCAAATCTGAGGCCATGGTGCTCGACCGGAAAAAGGTGCCCTGCCCTCTTCAGGTGGGTGGAGAGGCCCTTCCTCAAGTGGAGGAGTTCAAGTATCTCGGGGTCTTGTTCACGAGTGAGGGAAGGATGGAGCGTGAGATTGACAGGCGGATCGGTGCAGCGTGCGCAGTGATGCGGTCGCTGTATCGGACCGTTGTGGTGATGAGGGAGCTGAGCCGAAAGGCAAAGCTCTCAATTTACCGGTCAATCTTCGTTCCCTCCCTCACCTATGGTCATGAGCTTTGGGTAATGACCGAAAGAACAAGATCGCGGATACAAGCGGTCGAAATGAGCTTCCTCCGCAGAGTGGCTGGGCGCTCCCTTAGAGATAGGGTGAGGAGCTCAGTCACACGGGAGGAGCTCGGAGTAGAGCCGCTGCTACTCCACGTCGAGAGGAACCAGTTGAGGTGGCTCGGGCATCTGTTCCGGATGCCTCCTGGACGCCTCCCTGGGGAGGTGTTCCGGGCACGTCCCACCGGGAGGAGGCCCCGGGGAAGACCCAGGACACGCTGGAGGGACTATGTCTCTCAGCTGGCCTGGGAACGCCTTGGAGTCCCCCCGGACGAGCTGGAGGAAGTGTGTGTGGATAGGGAAGTCTGGGCGTCTCTGCTTAGACTGCTGCCCCCGCGACCCGGCAACGGATGAAGCGGAAGAAAATGGATGGATGGATGGATGGTATCTTAATATGAGCACATTCTGACTGAGCCTTAGAACAAGATTTGCCAATGGGACAAAACAAAATAATCTTGTTTTAGAAAGAAACAAGAAACGTCTCTCCTGGAATGAGAAAATAATCCAACAGTTTTTGAAATTAGACTAAATGGCTTTGACCCATTGGCAAATCTGGTTATAAGACAGTCAGAATGTGCTCATATTTAGATTTAAAAAAAAAAAACACTTGACTCAAGCATTTATTACCTCATATTTATCATTTTATTTGCAGTGTAAATAAATAAACTAAAATGAAACTAAAGTGAAACTAAATTCATATTGCGCACAAAAACCCTTAAGGGGGTTATTTCTGTTGCAGAAATAGCTGTGGTCAAATATGTTGTATGTTCAGGTTTATAGATGGCAATAGTTAAAGTCCATATCAAAGATTAAACGCTACTTTTCACCAAACGTAGTCCAGTCGTAATTCCTGTTTTGACTGGAGCCAGAAAGGCATGTAATGTTGGAATATTTCTTGAACAAAAATGTAATGTTTTTTTTCTCATATTCTACTGTAGCTACACGGTCGGAATGTGGCAGCTCTGAGACTGAGCGATAAAGCTGGGGTACCCAATTTTTAAACCAGTATAAAAGTGTGTGCTAAAATCCATCCAAATTGTTCCTGGCTCTAAAACAGTTTGGTTCCATCTCTAGTTTTCACACGCACATATTATGACTTACTTTACAACTATAGTTTAGCATTTTTATAATAGAAAAGTGAAAAAGTGGACCACGCTCCCTCGGCCAATCAGCTCTCGGCCCAAAAGGTCACATGACTCACTCCCAGTATGCTAACGGGTGAACCATTCAAACCACAAAGTTCTGTATTTATCTGACTAGAAAACAACATTCTACTTCCACATGACGCCTTCTGTTGGGACAAACAAAATGTATTAATAATGGCGGAAAAAAGTTAGGTACCCCAGCTTTAATCATTGACGCACACTAAAAGCCTTCAGCCACAAACGCACATGTATTATTCATTAATTATATTTAAATAGGTCAATTGAGCAGGTCTGTATATATAATAGCATAAAAGCAGAATAGCTGCGAGGCATTTCTGTGATAATTTGGTTTTCAATAACAGCCTGTAGCTCGACATGGAACTGAAGTGAGAACCGTTATCGCCATGGAAACGCACTTTTTCATGAGGAATTTGTTGATAGTCTTTTGTTTCCGGATGAACTGAACAATCAGACGGTTCAAGTAGACGAACAAGGCTCCACCGAATCCACTGGCAATCCTGAAAAAGACAACAAATATAAATCAAGAAAATCAGAAATTCAAATATTCAAGACTGATGTAAGCAAGGGTGGATTTTTTTAAATTTCTACGCTGTTTTAAGGGGTTTGACAAAACTGGTAAATTAAAAATCTCCCTTTAGGACACACACTCACATACACACAGAGAGATGTCTTACTCATGACGCAAAGACAAATTGAAGACACCATGTAGGAGGAGGATAAAGTCAATTTCAAGGAACTGGGACGAAAACGACAATTTTGAATCCGACCAGAGGCAGTGTCGCGAGAGAAACACATTTGGAGTCTTTGGGAGTGTGTGGGAGTGCAAGACAAGAGGTTTACATAAGCACAGAAGAGAGGACAGAAAAAGTACACACAAAGACACAGCCCAATGCTAATAAAGTTATCTGCATGTTTTATTAATCACATCAAACACTTGTGAATTAATAATGGCGGGAATGGGAATGTTGCTGGTGCGGCCTCGTCAGAACGTGAATGTGAGATAAAGATATAGGTCTAACGTGCTAAATAACTTAAATGTTTATCTCATTTTATGAACAGTTTCCAAAGTGCTGCACAAATTGAATGCAATTAACAATCAGCTATATACAAAATATATGCATACAATAGAATAATAGCTATCTAGAAATCAACATTTCCTATACATAAAAAAAAAAAAAAAAACAATAGAACATAAGCAGTGTATAAAGCAGATACTTTTCACATTGCAGAGAGAGAATTCTTGGGTTTCATGAACCTGGCCTGTAGGGGGCGAATGAGCAGAGGTGGGACTACTCAGTTTTGCTCCCATTGAAAACCATGTTAATAGTGTCTGTTTTGGAGTCAAAGGCTCTCTGTGCGGTGTACGGTTGTTGTTTTTTTGGTTTTTTTTATAGGACGATATGGGACGATATGTGTCAGTATTAGCTAACAGCGAGTTTCCAACTGTAGTCCCTAGGCAAGGTGTAAAATGCCATCAAAGTGCACTGCAAAAATTACATTACATTACAATACATTACATTACATTACATGACAATATAGAGTAACTAGTTAAAACTAGGGCTGTCAAAATTATCGCGTTAATTACCGTTAATTACCGTTAATTACCGTTTTCATTAACGCGTTAAAAAATAATGAACGCATTAACTTCCATTGACGTGTTAACACGTCAATTGCGTTTCCCGCTATTTTCACGTTCCCAGATGTCTATTGTATCAAATATGTAAGGTTTGAGGCAATATTTTATCGAGCCAGCAGATGGCAGCATTGCTCAATGAATGGTTTGAAAACAGCTAGATGCACTTTCTGGTGATTTCAATAAAACTTACCTCTACTCGACTGGGGATTACAGGGGAACGAAACAAGCTAGAAACAAAATTATTTTTGCTGATGAAAGTAGACAGTCCATTCTTTCAGAATATGGTTTTGGATTTCAGATGGTCATAATACACAATATTCTGTGGGTCTTGAAAATTCAGTAAAAATCATCAGAAACTGCTGGCAATATGGGAGTACCTGTTCAATCGCATGTCTGAATGACCCGCCCATTTATAATAATATCACTCAGAATGCCACGGACACGTGCGTGTGTGTGATGGTGACAGCAGTAACGTGGTCATATAATACACTCGTATATATACTCGCACAGGGGCCATTCTCTGATGCTGTGTGACACACGGAGGAGAGGAGGAGACACGCTGAAATGCAACCAAACTCGCAAAATTAAAGCTGGGGTACCTACATTTTCCTTTTCATTAACAGCTCTTGTTGGTTGTACCCAAAAGTAGAAGGTTGTGAGCAAGTCAAACATTTAAGTACATTTGGTATGAATAACAATGTGTCATTACATTTGAAAATCTCATTTAACTTCAATTGGAGTGGATTTGAAATAGGATGCTTAAAATGCGATTAATCGTGAGTTAACTCACCATTACTATGCGATTAATCAACTAAAAAAAATTAATCGTTTGACAGCCCTAGTTAAAACATTTCAATTTAAGAGACGTCAAATATAAACGCAAGTTATGCATCATGAGTGGTTACAATCTTGATTGTCCAATAACCAGGTTTTTAACGTATGTTTAAAAGTCCTGTGTGTGGTGCTATTTCCACAGTTGGAACACGGAAGAAGCTCTTGTCTTTCTCTCTATTTCCGCTGTTGCTACAACCGTACACCGCACAAAAAGATGCCATTTTGACAGCGCTTCTTCTACTATATCTCTGTGTATAAACCTGGCAGACTGCAGCGCCAGGATACGTCACGTCCTGTCCTACGTTTGTTATTCGCGACACTGATGTCATATGGAACCCAAGAATATGAGCACTGTTAGACCCGCCCTTGCTCACCCCCGCAGCTTCCTGATTGGTCGAAAATAATTCAAATCATTTAGGTCCCTTGACAATTTTATTCTCCTCCAGCAAATTTCTGGCTGTGGTTATGGCAATGAGAGGGACTGTTTCAAAAATATTATTGCTGAAAATTATTACTGCACATAAAAGTACAGTGCCCCAGTGTCAGAAATACATGTTTTCTTAAAAATGAAATACAATTTTAGTTAGTGAAAGTTAATTAAGTTGTTGGTCTTGATTTGCATTTCCAATAGTGAGTGAAATAGTGAGAACCAGGACTAATGAAACCTATTGATACTGTTAAAAAGTATCAATTTCAACAACTGTGGCCATCTCTGAAACATTATTCCACCACTGGATAAACTGGGATTATACAAACTCCTGCCTCGTTTTATTGTTAACTAATGAATGAGGAATTTTTCAACAAATGTTCAGATATAATGGAGCAGTAAAAAGCCTGTGTTTCTACTCCTGCCGCAGAAAATGTCATCTGATTGGGTCTAAAACAATAACTGTGCATAATAATTAGATTGGTGTATTATATTAGTAAGTAGTAATGTATTCATGTTTTTGATATTTTATGATCAGCAATATAATTATTCCCAATAGTTGCATGTCCTTGTCTTTGCAAGAGCGCTAAACCATAAAAAAATACTATTACAACTTTTGGAATGTTCTCACATCAATATCAAAAAAGCAGAAATGTGTTTGTAGCCAAATTAATAAAATAAATGTACTCAGAGAAGTGCAAGGACCTTTAAACACTATAAATGCAGAGAAACGCCTTTGATACTATTCTTGGAATCTAACAACAATGGTATGACCGTCTTTTAAAGTTTGTTTGTTATTTTTTGTCTGGTCTGTACGTTTTAAAGGGACCTAGAGTCTGTAATACCTTTTGATGGGATTGAATGGAAATTGTGAATCAGGCTCACTCTGATATTGGCCGACACAGCTTTGCCACAGAGAGCCTGAGTGTGAGTGATACTGGGCAGGATTCAGGTTGTGTTGTGGCCTCCATTCGTTCCAGTGAGGAGCTCTCTGCCTGAATGAAGCCTGCGGCGCTAAAGTCACTCACGGACGCGCCCTTGGAAGAGGCGGTGTCGGCCCAGATCACGGTAAGACACTGACCGACTTTCTGTCTTGGCCTGACGGATACTGCAGCGAGGAGGCGAGAGGAGGCTTAAAGATCGGCCCTCATTATACAACCTGTACATATAATCGACCCAAGTATGTGAGGGGACCGAAGCTAAATTTTGAGTTTGGGGCCTTTGCTCGTCATGCAGGCTATTCCCGTTCATAACAGGGCACACATCCACTGCTTTGCACTCGCTGGGTCATATTTATCAAAGGTTTGCATGTGTACAAAGCTATCCTTAGGCTGTTGTAAGTTGTTCCATCGTCCTTCATGTGTGAGATGGGTTACTCTGTCCCCGTGAAGAACATTGGGATTTAGTCCTGTATGAAATGTGCTATATAAATATAATGTCTTCTTCCAACTGGTGTATGATATTGTAACGCTATTAAGGCTCGGCACCGACTGCGGCCAAGATACTGAGGCTTTATCAGAAATAGGTTCAGCCACGGAGCCAAGGGTGTGAATAAAACAAGACAGCAAAAAATATAGATATTCAAGTACTTGTGTATTTAAAGGAAGGTGTAATATTTCCTTTTTAGAGGTATGTATTAATAATAAAAATAATAATGTATTTCAAATAACAACAATAAAAGAAACAAAAATGTTGATATAAGAAAACAAAAATAGTCCTGAGTTCAAGGTTCGGTACTGGTTCCGTAGAGTTCAGTTCAGTTTATCAAGGTCCATAAAGATCCAAAGGAGGGGAAAAAAAAACAAGGTTCGTTTGTTTCTACCACAGTGCAGGTAGGAGGTGGGGTAGGTAGCTCGCCATCAAGTGGTTGGACAGAGTGGGTGGAAAAACCTGACCCGTGAGTCAGGGTGAGTCAGAGTTAGGGTGGTTTATGGGTGGGTCTGTGGGGCGGTGGGGTATATTGGGCATGTTGTATTGATTTTGACTAAGCTGTAAAGCACTTTGTGTTGTATTTTATTGTATGAAAAGCGCTTTATAAATAAAGTTTGATTGATTGATTGTGGGTAAGAAAGGCCCACTATGGCTTTTATGAGCGTTCTGGGAAGGTGACAGAACAGCGATCTGGGAAAGGTTCACACGAAACACGCCCGTAACAGTATTCGGCTTTGTTCGAATGCAGATTTAGGCTGTACTACGTTTCAATGAATGTAAAATGTAAACGCCACAGCAGGAGCAGCTTGAAACGCAGCGGGAGCTGAGCAGCCGGACGTCCCAAGGAGACGGGGCAGGTTTAAGGGAAATGGGCCCGCCAGAATAAAATGACAGGAACGGGACAGGGACGGAACCGCTAACTTATGTGGGTTACAATATGAATAAGCCAAAACGGCCAAATATTCACCCAGTTGCACATGGATTGATTGAGAGACCCTTGAGCAATACGCCAGGACTATAGACAGAAGTTTTAAATCAATTTAGAGGTTTCAAATATGCTAAATAAGGTGATGAGCCAAGAGTGTCTTTTTAACGATATAGCAACCAATCGCATTCTACGTCAAGCTTATAAATAAAAATATTAATATTAATAATAATGATAACAATAATAATTATCATTATCATTACCATTATTATCATTACACGCATTTAAAGATGGATGCACATTTATTCACTCCAAAAAACTATAAATAGGTTTTGGCCATATCATAGTTTTCCTTTCACGGCCATAGTGGATTATGAATTATATGAAAATTGTATGAAGTGACTTAGAATCACGGCTTAACCACTTGTTTCGCGGCGCTCAGGGACTCTAACATTTCTGAGTGGATCTGAGACCGTTTCTGCTGCTGCTGCTTCTCCGGCAGCAAAGAGGAGTGTAATGTCAGTGACGCAGCAGTGGGCGCCGACACCAACGCCACAAAACCTGCCAAGAACAGAGAATTAAACATGAGGAGCAACGGAGAGTCTTCACCAACATGAGACAGGACTGAGGAAAGATAAAAGTCTTCTGTTGTGGCAGCGGCTGAATAATGAAATTGGTCGATAAAACTTTGAACGCCAAGTACAGAATATGTGTCCTGGAAAGAACCATATTTTCACATTTGTTTTGAACCGAATTTTGTAATGCACCAGGGATTAAGAAAACAGCTCTCAGGCATATAGTAAATGTATTAAAACTCAAACTCATTAAAGGGGATGTCTGCCACTTTAATTGTATTTCATATTTATAAGAATCCATATTTTTGATGCCATGGTCCTGTAGCATCATCTCAATGAAGTCTTTGACAAAATTGAATTCATTTTTGTAAAGTCCAAAATCACAACAGTAGATATTTCGTAGAATTGAATAGAATAGAAATTCCGTAGAAATTGAATATATTTAATACAGTCCCTCATCACCAAACCGATTGGCTGGAGGAGAACAGCAGAGCGGGGCCTCAGTTGTCTATCAAGGATTTAATAATAATAATGAGGAAACAAAAACCTTCTCTTAACAGAGGAGGAGGGTTAAGATTTGTTTTGCCTCGCATCTATGACGACATCCTAAAAACAACGCCCTAACTTGGGACAAAGTCAGTGACATGCTAATGAGTTAGGGTCGTTAGCCTCAGCAGGGTCGTTAGACCTGCTCCCTTCTACATCAGACCTTAGATTGTTTATGAGTTAGTATCAGGATTAGGGTGTGGCTAACCACACCCATAGATTATAAATCTCCAACGCGCGGTCTGAGAATTCATTCCCTGAAGAAGTCCTTACGATTGAGGACGAAACGTCAGGAAAACTTGCTAAGAAGTACAGATGATGGGTGAGAAACCTTCCTTTGCTTTGATTTAATAATAGTAATATATTTTATTTATAATGTCACTGATAGTTCACTATAGTAACTTGTCACTAGCCACTTTACCTGCTGTTAGTATTACTGCATTATTACATATCCATCTGATATTTCTGCCATTCACAAGCCACTTTACCTGTTGATATTATTTCTGATATTTATTCTGTTCATATGCATATTCCCATATTCTCCGCTGCTAAAGTACATAGACATCTGTAAATACTTTTGAACCAAGTGCAATTATAGCCCAGAGTTTATTTTATTCTTATCTTAATTTTATTGTCTATTATCTTAAATAATAGACTTATTTGATGTGTGCAATCTGAATGCTTTTATTTCCTCTCTGCTGTAATGTGCGCAACGATGACACTGAAATCTCTCCACTGAGACTAATAAAGGTTCATCTTATCTTATCTAATAATGCACCTTACATTATCAGGAAAGTGCTACAGATTAAAACACAACGCCACAAACAAAACAAAGCAAAATATCCAAAGTACATAACATCTCAAAAAGGAGGGGTTAGAAGCAAATTTGAATTCATTGCATCCAATCAGGAGCCTGTAGGGGCGGGCCTAACTGGTGTCTTGCATTAAAAACTCTAGCTCCATTTCATAATATAAAAAGCCACTGACATTCACTTTGACAATTAATGTGCCACACCAGGCGAAATACCTAATTCATCTAAAGAAAAATTAAGATCAAGATGAAGAGATTTATTCGTCCCACAGTGGGAAAAATGGATTGTTCCCGTGGGAAAAAAGGGGCGGGACTTCCCGAAAAAGTCTCCCGAAAGGCCTTTAACCCCAGATTTCTGAGAACATTTTGAAGAATCAAACAAGTGAGAGTTCTTTTAGCAACTTCAGTAGAAAGAACTCCCTCCTTGCCTCTCTCTCTCTCTCTCTCTCTCTCTCTTTCTTTCTCTCCCTCCCTCTCTCCACGTCTTCAAGGAGCCCGTGGTCTAATTGTATGGCTCGGACGTACCCGCAGGCAAAGACAGGATCAAATAAGACGTCCCCTGGTGAGAAGGCAACAGTTTCTGCTAAATTTTCCATGAGGAGAGAGACACAAACCTGCCCAGAGTCACACCTCACCCCTTCACACCTGCCACAATGTACAGAAGATAATACTCAGCCGGAGGACGCTCTGTACTCTTGGAAAATGTACAGGTATTTTTGCAGATTAGCATATCCACCTGCTGGGGATTGGAACGAATTCATTAACGCAAGAAGTAGATTAAGGAATGTAAAGCTGAGGTGCCCAACTTTCAATAAGTAACTATAGATCCTTGCTCTAAAAACGAGGAGTGAAGAAGTTTCTGGATTTAACTGAAATGACCTGAAACGGGACAAAACACTAATCAGGTGCGGAATCTAAGCACAATCACCACAAACTAAGATTCTGCTGAACTTGTATTGCTGCACCGTTGAAAGTTGGATTGTTGGTTCTGCAACATCCAGATAAATAGAGAGAGACCAGAGAGAGAGGTCAGAGAGAGAGGTCAGAGAGAGGCCAAAGAGAGAGGCCAAAGAGAGAGGCCAGAGAGAGTCCAGAGAGAGAGGCCAAAGAGAGAGGCCAGAGAGAGAGGCCAAAGAGAGAGGCCAGAGAGAGAGGCCAGAGAGAGAGGCCAGAGAGAGAGGCCAAAGAGAGAGGCCAGAGAGAGAGGCCAGAGAGAGAGGCCAGAGAGAGAGGCCAGAGAGAGAGGCCAGAGAGAGAGGCCAAAGAGAGAGGCCAGAGAGAGAGGCCAGAGAGAGAGGCCAGAGAGAGAGGCCAGAGAGAGAGGCCAGAGAGAGAGGCCAGAGAGAGAGACAAGAGAGAGAAACCAGAGAGAGAGACCGGAGAGAGAGACCAGAGAGAGAGGCCAGAGAGACCAGAGAGAGAGACCAGAGAGAGAGACAAGAGAGAGAGACCAGAGAGAGAGACAAGAGAGAGAGACCAGAGAGAGAGGCCAGAGAGAGAGACAAGAGAGAGAGACAAGAGAGAGAGGCCAGAGAGAGAGACCAGAGAGAGAGACCAGAGAGAGAGACCAGAGAGAGAGACCAGAGAGAGAGACAAGAGAGAGAGACCAGAGAGAGAGACAAGAGAGAGAGACAAGAGAGAGAGACCAGAGAGAGAGACCAGAGAGAGAGGCCAGAGAGAGAGACCAGAGAGAGAGGCCAGAGAGACCAGAGAGAGAGACCAGAGAGAGAGACAAGAGAGAGAGACCAGAGAGAGAGACAAGAGAGAGAGACCAGAGAGAGAGGCCAGAGAGAGAGACCAGAGAGAGAGGCCAGAGAGAGAGACCAGAGAGAGAGACCAGAGAGAGAGACAAGAGAGAGAGACCAGAGAGAGAGACAAGAGAGAGAGACCAGAGGTTGTGAATTGCTGCAACTGTTATATTTGTATTTAGGGGTTTGTTTGAAAAAAATCTCATGTGCAAACTGAAATTGGAAATTAACGTAATTATAATATGTAAATTCAACGGCAGAATCGTGAAAATGTCAGATATTGACGTGAAAATAGCAAAGTAACTAGTGATGTTATAAAACTTCTGGCAAAGAAACCTTTTTATTTTCTCTCAAATAATTGTTTCCTCGAGTCAACTACAGTATCCCAATAAACACGTCAAGAGTTGAAAGAGAAAAGAAAGAAAAACCTTAGACCTCATACGATTGAAAGTAATAAGGGACGTAAACGTAAAAATAGCTCTTAATAAAAAGTTCCTTTGCGGCAGAAATGTCACAGAAATGTCAGAGCCGATTCTTTTCACACGTACCCAATAACTGCGAAAGCCGGCAGCTCCTGCAGGTCGAAGGGGAAATCCAGGCGAAATCTGGTTTTGAACAAAGCCGTGATGGTTTCTGCAAAAATGGACAAACAAAGAGAAGTTATGAAAAAAGTGGAGAAATGGCTCTGAAAACATGTCGATAAACAACTCTCATAAACAAGGCCTCATTATTTTGTGTTTCCTGCTGATTTCCACTTGTTTGCACCGGAAGATTATCTAATATTTATCAAGATACAAAGTTCAGTGTGGAGTTATTTTAATGGGCCTCGAACTAAACGGGATATTTTTTTTAGTTCAGCACTAACGGCTTTCTCAGCGCTCCGGAACTTTTTCATTTAATTAGACTCGTGTCTCGGTTCATATTCCTTCAAAAAGTCTTAAATGTTCGGCTGCTCATTTCTCAAAAAAGGGGAAAAAGCAAAGTTATCAAGTTCATTTTGAAAGTAATTGCCAATAAGTAGATATATATTTGCCTAAACACACATTTGATTCATGCATACTTAGTCATTACAAGTATTATACCTGGTCGTGTCCGGCATTCCCATTGATTTTCTCATTGGTTTCCCTAAAAATACACCGTTTATGATGTATTTTTACAATGGGCTAAACCAAATACCAAAAATGAGCCAATAATTGTAGTTCTACTTGTCCCTGGACTTTCTCTTTCTCTTCTCTTTTAAATGTTTTATGTTGTTGTTTGTACTGTTGCCTGTGTGTTTCTACCTGCCTTAGGACAATGGATGCAGTTTAGCTAATTAGAGCATATTTATGTTGATTCTTATGTACTGTCCTAAATTCTAATAAAAAAACAAAAAAAACAAAAGTCAGATCTGCGTCAAATAATAGTGATCCCACAGGTCTGCAAGGAAGTGGGAACGTTTACCGATACCATGGAAGGATACTTAAAGGTATGAGGATTTTCTATTTCCGGGTGCATCATCAAGATTACACAAGTTGACAGCCAAAAAATGGTCAGGGGTTTCTCAACTGATTTAGACTAATTTTGGTGTTCTGAGTCCGAATATCACATGCATTTTGCTCTATCAGGTCAACTTTTTGAGATACAGCCATAGTGTTACGGATTATGTACGTCTACGTTATTATGAATTCTCCTTATCAAATTTGATGGAGTAAATAAAAACTGAATGACTTTGGATACGTTGACTTTTATTTCTTGAGGAAAACGGAAAAAACGTCAAGGGTTTCTCAGCTGATGATTTTCGGACTCAGAGCCTCAAAATTAGTCTAATTCAGCTGGAAAACCCTGGACTATTTTCAAAAAATATTTTTTTTTTACCCAGTGTTATTGGTCCTCACAATTGTCAATCATTCAGACCAGAGAGTTTAGTTCAAAAAGTGACAATTCCTTCTTAAAATGTGGGAAAATCCTCGGATATACTTTTAAGTAACAAAGTACAAGTGAAACTTGATAATATTAGTCTGATTCAAAAGTTAATTCATGATATCGCCTCTTACATTCATAAACCAAGCCTTTTTTGGCCTTATTTCTCTTATTTTGTATCTTTGAAAAAAACATGAATAAAAAATAACAAAGTTCAACAAAACAAAAAATAAAATACAAAGCATTCCTCTGGATTTTATTTCTTTAAAACATTTTTTTACCTTCATCTTTGTTCCAAACAGCCAGAACTCTGAAAATGAAGGCACTGAAAGTAGCAGCGAAGAATCCTCTCCAGTAGTTCCTCACGGCGAAGAACGTGGACGTTACTTCGATGCTGAACAAAACACCTGCAACGCACAAAAAGCCGGGTGAAAAAAAAAAAAAATCTATTTCTGAAGCCGGGTTGCGCCCCGTTGTTCCACAGATGCGGCCGTGACACGTTTCAGGAGGTAATTTCTGATGCTTCGTGACGCCCTCTTCTACATATTTACAGACGCAACATCAGGTGCAATCTCGCGTTCGCCTCAGACTTCACGCTCAATTTGACTGCTGGGGGAAATTAATTGTTTTTGTTACGAACGGATGAAATGTGGAAAGGAAGTGGAGAAGGTAAAATACAGGATAATTAATGACAAGAAATAACAAAACAAAAATCATGGGAGAAAAAATATTTGTAGAGATTTGGGATAATGTGATTAATTAAACTTGAGGTACAAGACTTTATTTCCTTCATAAATCATCATTTGTCTTTGATACAACCGACAGAGTTTTCTAAAAGTAAAATGCTGTAAACAAATCAGACCATAACTTGCTGTATTTTTCGGTATTCTTCTGATTTAATACTATAATTTTAAGAGCCCCAAATTTTGGGTTAGGGCAGAGAGAGCGAGATAGAGTGGTCCCCCTTTTTTACTTTTCTGTTCGTCACACATTTAATATTGTTATTCTTATTTTTATTTTATTAAACATGTAGTATGGCCATACCTGTTAAAAAAGTGTAGGTCAGGTAGAGCAGAGGACGCAACTGTTTGCATCCACAAATTAAACCGACTTCTTCTACAATTATTCTATTATTGTACAGCCCTAAAATCACAGCAGCAGTTTTACACTGAGGACTTAAAACAGTTGTGAATCCTAAATTACAGATCAGAAAATAAACTTCAAACAAAGGAAATGTAATAATAAACACATAGGAGCCATTTGTTTTTCCTATGTCCATAAATGTTCATAAAAGTTCATAAAAGTTCTGTATTATCAATGAGAACTGATTCAAAAAAGAAAAAAATCAAATTCCAAACAAAATTAAAAGGTTCTAGGGTAAAGTTATGACTAAAAGAGTAAACTTTGCAGATCAGAGTTGGTTGTTGGGATGTGACCTAGAACGAGCCGAGAACAATCAGGACGCAGTGTTCTCGTCCAAAGCCGCGTACGGAGCGTCTCTGACCTGATTCCAACAAACTCAGTATTTCAGGCCACAATGAAGGACTCCTCTGAACATCGCCGATCAATCATCAATGAAATCTAGTTTACGGGGAAAGTTCCAGCACTTTGACTCACCTCCGATGGGCGCAGCGAAGCAACAGCCCACCCCAACGGCACACGCAGCGGCTAGCATCTCGATGTTCCTGGACTCGTTCTGACAACAAACAAGAACTTACCGTTAAAATCATATCAAAGCAGAACAATTATTAATAGGCTTTCAAATTGGGAAATATATAAATTGTTTAATCTACATGTACTATACCCTCAAAAACAAGTTTGATGAAGGGGACATTTTTAAGCTACGAGCCAGCAAAAGCTCCTTAGCAACCGTTGTCATGACCAAAATGAAGACACACCGACAGAAGAGAAAATGCTAAAAGTTTGCCTACATTTAACTCAAATTTGACAAATGTTGGGCACACTTTGCGACTTAATTCAACACCATGCTGAATAACACGGCTTTAAAACTTACTTTCATATGCAAATGAGTGTGTGTTGCTATGGTGACGCCTCCGGTGATATGAGTGATATGGAACCTGTACTTTAACATAAGGTTTGAGCAGTATTTCTGTTAATCAATGAAAGTTTTTGGTTTGAAATTCATACAGTGACTTCATTGATCACCGTATGAGACACACACAAGACAGTGTGACAGCAGCAGTGACAAAGAGAGAAAAAAAAAAACATTTAGGCTTCAGCGATGCGTCTGTCCGTACACATTTAATTCCTTTACACCATTGAATATTAAAATCAATCTGAAACTTTACAATTACAGAGATGAGAATGAAAAACGAAATGGTATAAAACATCCAGGTGGCGACACGACCGTAAAAAGACATCCGTACTGTGTTTTTAATCAAAAGAAGTTGCACGGCTGAAGGGCACAGCGTTGCATTGTGGGAAGAGGAGCTGTTGATCCTCTGGCCTCCTTGGGCAGCAGCGGCGGAGAGTTTGGTAAGTAGGGGCATTAGCCTTAGGCAGGAGGAGCACGTGGAGAAGCTTAACAAATTGAGAGGGTGATGACACAAATGTCACTTTTCATATTGTAACAGTATCAGTGTGGTTTCACAGGAGCAGTTGACTGCATAAAACAAACTTTACACGAAACTTTTATTCTTAAAACCCACATATCACTAAAGTGACATTTGTGTCATAATTTGTTCGAATTTTGACTTTTAAAGCAATTCGCTGACTTCATGTCCACCATCTTGGTTTGCTTCGGCTGCCGTGAGAAGCACATGCACAGGTTTGCATTACATCCTAAACAGCTGAGGGAGCTCATCTCGACGGGCAGACCAACTCGACAGAACACCGGCACGGTCGCTGACATATTAGCTGAACTCGCCATATCACCCGCTATATTTGGGCATCGTCTGGTCCTCCTGGTTCTACGCAGTGGATACGCGTGTGGGGCTCTCATGCACGTGCACAGAGGGGCTCGGCCGCGTTTTGACCAATCAGAGCTGCTCATCAGAACAGCGGAAGAGCGGAGCCAGAGCGGGAAGGAAAGGAGCAGAGTTTGTGGCAGTAAAGTGTGGATTTAAAGAAAACCGAAGGAAGTGGAACAAGATGGCGCCTCGTACGGTCGACATGGCTCTTTGCTGCTCTCTTTTTCTTTTGTTTTTACTTTTTAACTGTGCATCTGGCTGTTCCTACACCCGTGAGGAACTTATGAACATCCGACCCACCGTTCCCATGGACCTATTGCCTGTTTTCTTGGCATCTGCGGCTGATTTAGTTCATGTTCTAGCCAAAAAAGTGTGGGCCCGTAAAAGGGGAAAGCGAGGAGGCCTGCTCGTGCGTCTTAGGAGGAGAGGAGCGCGCACGGCTCTCCCCGGCATTTTTCTCACCAACGTACGCTCACTGGGCAATAAGATGGACGAACTCAGCCTGCTCATGAGAAGAAACAAGGACTTCGCCACATCCTGTGTCCTCTGCTTCACTGAGACCTGGCTAAATGAGCGGATCCCGGACTGCGCTCTGGAGCTGCAGGGCTTTGGGCTGTTTCGCGCGGATCGCCATTGTGCGCTCTCAGGGAAGAGCAGAGGCGGAGGGCTCTGTTTCTACGTCAATACAAACTGGTGTAACGATGTGACAGTGATCTCCAAGCACTGCTCTCCTGCTCTGGAATATCTTTTCATTCATTGTAAACCATATTACTCCCCGCGGGAAATTGTTTCATTCATTCTTGCCTCTGTTTACATACCGCCATGCGCGGACGCGCGCGAGGCTCAGCGCGCACTCGCAGAGCAAGTACTGTGTATGGAACGCTTATACCCGGACTCTCTGATTATTATCCTGGGGGATTTTAATAAGGGAAACTTGAGCCAGGAATTACCCAAATACAGACAGTTTATCAAATGCCCGACCAGAGAGGAGAACACTCTGGATCACTGTTACACCACCGTGCGCGGAGCTTTTCGCGCTGTTCCCAAGCCAGCCCTCGGCTTCTCAGATCACTCCATGATACATCTGGTTCCTGCTTACAGACAGAGACTAAAGCTCTCGAAACCTGCAGTGAGGAGCTCCAAAGTGTGGTCTGATGAAGCTGTGGAAGAGCTGCGCGCATGCATGGAATCTACAGACTGGGACCTTTTCAGAGCTGCCACAGACAGCTTGGATGAATATACGGACACTGTGACGTCATACATCCACTTCTGTGAGGATAGCATCATTCCAACAAGGACCAGGGTCATCTATAACAACGACAAACCCTGGTTCACTGCTAAACTCCGGCAGCTCAGGAAAGCAAAGGAGTCTGCTTTCAGGGAGGGGGACCGCAGCGGCTACAAAGCAGCTAAATATCAGTTCAGGAAAGAACTGAAAGCAGCCAAGTCCCGGCACAGAGAACGACTACAGGAGCAGTTTGGTAACAACGATACTGCTTCTGTCTGGAGGGGCCTACGGGAGATCACCAACTACAAACCCAAAGCCCCCCCCTGTGCTGACGACCACAAGCTAGCTGACGATCTGAACTTATTTTTCAGTCGCTTTGATGCTGCCCCTGACACCTCTCCCTCCCCCACCCCCCACTACTCTAACGACCCACCCATCAGCCCTGCCCCCAGCCTAACAATAGCCGCAAAGAGATTAAACAACTCTTCCTGAGGCTGCACCCCCACAAAGCTCCTGGCCCGGACCACGTGTCTCCGGCCACTCTGAGACACTGCGCCAGTGAGCTTACTCCTGTGTTCACGGACATTTTCAACTCCTCTCTGCAGTCCTGCCATGTCCCGGCCTGCTTCAAATCCTCCATCATTGTCCCCGTCCCGAAGAAGCCCAGGATCACAGGACTCAATGACTACAGACCTGTAGCACTTACGTCTGTCGTCATGAAGTCATTTGAACGCCTGGTTCTCTCCCATCTCAAGTCCCTCACCTCCCCCCTCCTGGACCCCCTGCAGTTCGCCTACAGAGCCAACAGATCTGTAGACGACGCCATTAACCTGGCCCTCCACCACATCCTACAGCACCTGGACTCCCCGGGGACCTACGCCAGGGTCCTGTTCGTGGACTTCAGCTCTGCCTTCAACACAATCCTGCCATCCCTGCTCCAGGACAAGCTCTCCCAGCTCAACGTGCCCGATTCCACCTGCAGGTGGATCACTGACTTCCTGACGGACAGGAAGCAGCGAGTGCGTCTGGGGAAGAATGTCTCGGACTCTCGGATTATAAATACAGGAGCCCCACAGGGCTGTGTTCTTTCTCCCCTGCTCTTCTCCCTGTACACCAACCACTGCACCTCCAGCCACGACTCCGTGAAGCTGATCAAGTTCGCGGACGACACCACCCTCATTGGACTCATCTCCAACAACGATGAGTCCGCCTACAGGAGGGAGGTGGACCGGCTGGTGTCCTGGTGCAGTGGTAACAACCTGGAGCTGAACGCCCAGAAGACAGTGGAGATGATTGTGGACTTCAGGAAGAGCACTGTCCCCCCGCCCCCACCCATGGGGGCGGGGGGACATCCATGGGGGTGATGGACTCCCCCATCACCTCTGTGGAGTCCTTCCGTTTCCTGGGCACCACCATCACCCAGGACCTCAAGTGGGAGCCGACCATCAGCTCCCTCATCAAGAAGGCCCAGCAGAGGATGTACTTCCTGCGGCAGCTCAGGAAAGCCAAGCTGCCTGCACAGATGTTGGTGCAGTTCTACACGGCCATCATCGAGTCCATCCTCACCTCCTCCGTCACCGTGTGGTTCGCTGGAGCCACAGTCAGGGACAAACAGAGACTACAGCGCATTGTGCGCTCTGCAGAGGAAGTGATCGGCCGCAGCCTTCCATCGCTGCAGGACCTGTACGTCGCCCGAGCTCGAGGCCGGGCTGGTCGTATCACAGCCGACCCCTCTCACCCTGCACATGGACTATTCCAACCACTCCCCTCAGGCAGGAGGCTGCGGTCCATCAGGACTAGAACCTCCCGCCACAAGAACAGTTTCTTCCCCTCTGCTGTTGGACTCTTGAACACTTCTTAACCTGTCCCCCGCCCTTTATAAAGTCACTTTACTGCCCATCATACGTCACTTTACTTCACTGTACTGCTGTCACCTTACATTGTGTGCACCATGTGCACTTGTATATTGTAAATAGTAACTGTAACTCTATTTTAAATTTAAATTTATTCTTTAGAAGTGTTTTTTATTCTTATTTTTATTATCTCTTTTTGACTGTTGCACTGAGCCAAAGCAATTTCCAAGTCTGTGACCTCCCGTTACTTACGTTGGCAATAAAAATGATTCTGATTCTGATTCTGATTCTGATTTAAGAAAAAAAGTTCAGGATGATAAGGGACACTAAAATCACCACAAAATCCGACCTTTCTGAAAGCTGTAGGTTCTCTGTCAGCTGTTTTAGTTTACATTGAGTTCTATGGGGATAATAGAACATAAATTTAGTCTGGTTCAGTCTGCAGTACCGCGAGAAACCCCCGAGCACGTGGGTTTTTCAGCTCCGAGCTAGTAATACCCTATCCAGTTATTATAACAGATCCATGTTTTATCCCCACTATGCTCCCCGTAACTAAAATAAAGCAACGCAAGAAAATCATACATTTTTATGATGCTGGTATGGTTTATTTTTTTTAGCTGTAGCCTCTTTTTTTCTTGTTTTGAATTGTCATTGCCATCTGCCATGAGTTGTCAGACCTTGAAAT